CCAGCGCAGAACTCTGCAACACTGGCATACAAACACAAGAAGACTAACCCTAACCCTAACCCTAACCCTAACCCTAACCCTAACCCTAACCCTAGGTCAGCGTGCGGGGCTGAGTCTCAGTCGTCGGCGCTGTGGGGCCAGATCCCAGCGCAGAACCCTGCAACGCTGGCATATACAGACACAACAAGACTAACCCTGACCCTAACCCTAACCCTAACCCTAACCCTCTATAACCCTAATAACCCTAACCTAACCCACCCCCCAACTCCACACCGCAAATTTGAAAGATATTGTTGAAAATCAGGCCCGGCCGCAAATTTCTTCAAAATTTTCGCAGGCGCTCCGCGCCTGCAGATTTTGAAATAAATTCGACAAAATTGGTACCTGGCCCAAGGGTGAGGCTGCAAAGCCATCCTCGATCCGGGTGCCGTCTCAGACGACTGTAGATTGGTATAAGGTATAAGGAACTCGGACACCCGAGTGGTTTAAGGGAATGGCGTCGTGCAACACGGGGGATGCTGGGGCTCAATGCCTCAGCGGGGTGACTCTCAAGCGTCTCACATGACGCCGACTCGAGAGTTGAGGGAGCTATTACGTGGCAATACTTGGGCGCCTGTTCGGCGCCCAAGGTGCCTAATATTAGGGGTCTGGGTGGCAAAGACGTGCCACTGCACAGGGTGTGGGAATATAGGGATATAGGTAGACTATTCGTCACTGTGGGGGGGGGGGGGAGAGTGATAATAGGGGTGTTGAGGTGGGGCTGGTGGAGGTGATTCTCCGGGTCAGTCTGGAGGTCGTTCTCCACCACCTCCTGCGACAGAAGCAGGCCACAATACGCGCGTCCGCGACGCCGACGCGCGGCGCGCGCTCATCGTCAAACTCAAGCCAATGTACGTACTTCCTTTAGCTTAATGGGAGAAACGGGAGAGGATGTGTGTGTTCTCTAGAGGCCCCTAACTAAAGGCCCTACCTACGCTCTCTCTCTCTCTCTCTCTCTCTCCAATGTACAATGGGAGTGAATCCGAGCGAGTGAAACACTAGTCCAAAAGACTCGCGATTAAAATAAATCACACGTGGAAATCCACGCAAAGTGTGCGCTTCGCAAGCAACCCGCAGTTCTACGGCTGCTCTAGTTGCTGCCGCTCGGCGGGGCGCCGCCGCACGAGGCGCGCCACCGCCATGTGGCGGCGGAGGAGCTGCCACTGCCGCCGGAGCGGCCCCGCGTCGCACGGCACCGCTCCCATGCTGCACAGCACGAGGCGCAAGCTCACCGTGCGGTGCTCCGGAGCCGGGAAGAGCGGCACCGCCACCGTGTCGAAGAGCTTGTACGGCGGCTGCAGCAGCACCTGCGGCGTCTGCTGGAAAAAGTTGCGGAACGGAACGCCGCCGAAGCTAGGGTCCTGCTCGTGGACCATGGCGATGGCGATGCGCCGATCCATCGCCGCTTGCACGAGGCGCGCGACAACGCCGCCGTAGTCCAGAAAGGTCTTATCGTTCAGGTAGAGCAGGAACACTACGTGCCCGGAGAGCGGGGCCGCGTTGGCTCCCTCGAGCGCCTCCTCCGCATCGCGGATCACGACCGCAGTAACCGCCTCGGCGCTGGCGGTAGAGCCGCGCCCCTCCCCCGCCGCCGTCTTGACCAGCTCCGACAAATCGAGGACGCCGACGTTGCCGCGGCACACGAGGATGGTGACGGGGCCGCTGAAGGCAACGGGGCCCGCCTGGCCGGGTACCATCACGCCGTCGGCGAGCTCGGCCGGGCGGCTCGCGTAGAAAGGAGAGTGCAGCAGCATCCGCAGCGCGACAGCCTTGAGCGACTCGAGCTGAAAGGCGTTCACCCGCACCCACACGATCGGCGCCGCCTCCTCAAACACGCGCGCGAGCATCTCGCCTGGCCCGCTGTAGTTAGGGTAGGCAGCAGGGGCGGCCTCGACGCAGTTTTCGCGGCACTCGGCCTTCAGCGCCTCGATCGAGGCGCCGCCCTTGTCGACGTCAGCCTCGAAGATGGGGATGAAGGGCCGATTTGAGGCGAGCGCCGCGTACAGCTCGCGGCGGCAGTTGAAGCTCCTGAAGTATCCGGCGCTGAGGAAGACGAGAAAGTTCATTGCGTCGGCTACGGCCTCCTCGAGCCTGCCCACGTCATCGAGGTTGTCGACGTCGAGCCAGATCCGGACGCCGGGGAGAAGAAGCTGGAGTCGCCGCACGACGGTGTGCGTCTGGTCTTGGCCGGTCCCCCAGCAGTGCGAGATGAAGCCGTGGAAGTGGCACTCGGGGGACAGCTCGAGGACAGGGGGGCGGCCGGAGGAGGTGAGGCGTACGGTGGGCATGCGGACGGCGCTGACGGTCTTGAAGAGGACGACGAGCAGCGATGCGATGAGCATTGCGACGGTGAGCACGACGACAAACTCGCTCGCGCCGCGCGCGCTCTCGAAGC